GTCAAGGGCCTGCATTGATCAAAAATTTTGAAGGAGAGACAGCTACCATCTGTCCCTACATTACTGCAGCCCCGATCAACCTCTAGGGGTGGGATGTTTTGGCTGCCTGGGGAGTGCGCATTCAGTCAAATTTATAATTGGGGTCACTGAGGTGAAGGACGAGAATTATCCTGTGATGCCTTTGCGGTGGTTGATTAATACCCCTATTTGGCAGAATCAGTGGCCCCTACCAAAAACCAAATTAATTGCCCTTCGTCAATTGGTTCAAGAACAATTGCAGCAGGGGCACATTGAGCCTTCTTATAGTCCCTGGAATAGCCCCGTTTTTGTCACAGAGAAAAGAATCCTGTAAATGGAGGTTGTTACAGGATCTCCAAAAGATCCATGCAGTTATGAAGAGCATGGGGGCATTGCAGCCTGGCATGCCTTCACCCACCATACTCCCTGCTGGATGGGACATTTTGGTCATTGATTTGAAGGATTGCTTTTTCACAATCCCCTTGTGTCCTGAAGATAGGCCAAAATTTGCTTTTACGGAGCCTGCAATGAACAATTCTGAGCCAGGACAGAGATATCAATGGAAGGTTTTGCCACAGGGTTGTCGTAAGAGCCTGACTATTTGTCAGTGGTATGTGGCTCAGGCCTTGTCTGGAGTCCGCAAGTGGTTTCCTGACTGTCCTAGTTTAAGGCAAATTTAGGGAAAACCTCCGGGAGGAGCCCCCAGAAAGAAAAACAAACCCCCCAAGACTCCTCGCCCACCACCGGGTTCGGGAAGAATTTCCTCAGAGGAAAAGTGGAAAAAACCTGTTTATTAATCAAACAAAACACTCCCCAACACAAGAGAAGAAAATGAACAACCCCAGATGACAAAAAACTCTTTCACCAGTATGAGAGGGTGACAAACTCAGAAAATCTCTCCTGCGAGTGGTATCAGTCTCCGGCGCTGGGAATGACTGCAGATCACAAATTGCAGAGTCCTGGTGTTCCTCGGTGTTCCAGGTCCGGTCCAAAACAGGTTCAGAGGGTATACAGAAAGGGAAGGGAGGAAAAAACAGTCCAGGGAAAGAGATTGGACTTCCTAACTAATAAGCAAAAGCCAGCAAAACTAAAAACTAAAGCTAGCAAGCAATCAAAGCCAGCGAGCAAGCAAAGCAAAAGCAAGCCAGCCAGCAAAGTGAGCAAGCCCTAGCCTCCCAAGCACAGACGATGGGGGAGGGGAGCCAACTGATAAGTAGACAAAACAAACCTTCACTTGAACAGAACACATGATTGGGGATACAAGCCACCATAACGTCACCCCAGGACACTGACACATACTTTTATCATTACAAGGATGACATCTTGGTAGCAGCTCCTACTCAGGATGAGTTGCTGAGGATAGAGCCTCGGCTGCTTGCTGCTTTACGCTGTTATGGACTGCAAGTGACTCCAGATAAGGTCCAGCAGCAACCGCCTTGGAGATATTTAAGGATCAAGATCCTGGATCAGAAGACCCAGCATCAAGAGGTGCAATTCACAGATTCTATTAAAACACTGAATGATGCTCAGAAGTTGCTGGGTGTTATTGGTTGGTTGCGTCCTTACTTAGAACTGAGCACAGAGCAGTTGTCCCCACTTTTCAATATCTTGAAAGGAGACACTCGCTTGGATTCACCTCGAACACTGACCCCCAAGGCACAACAAGCTCTGCAGAGGGTGCAGCGAGCTCTTTCTACTCGTCAGGTGTACCGAGTAGATCCTTCCATTGATACCACTGTGTTTATCGTCAATCCAGATTCATCTCCTACAGGTATCATTGGCCAGTGGAATGATGCCTGGTCTGATCCCTCTCACATTCTGAAATGGGTCTTTTTGCCGCATCAGCTGAGAAAGACAGCGACTACAGTGTTTTAATTGCTTGCCCGACTGATACTCAAATACCGTCAATGATGCGTGCAATTGATGGCAGTGGACCCTGCAAGAATTGTACTTCCTGTAGAGCGGGAGTTCTTTGAAGGGGCTTTTGTTAATAGTGTTCCCTTGCAAACTGTGCTGCCAGACTTTATGGGGGAGATTGTTTATCATCTGCCCAGCCATAAGCAACTGCATATGGCAAAGACAGTTAAACTGTCCTTGAGACCCAAAAATAGTCAGGTGCCAGTGCAAGGTCTTCACTGACAAGTCAGGCAAAATAGGGAAGGCCATTGTTACATGGAAGGATGATTCTGGTTGGCAAACACTGGAGAGCCATGAGACAGGTTCTGCTCAGATAATTGAGCTGAGGGCTTTCACGATGGCATTCCAATGGTTTTCACAGGTACCTTTGAATTTGGTCACTGACTCCGCTTATGTTGCAGACATAACTCAGCATTTGGATTGCTCGCTCCTGAAGGAGGTTCACAACGCCACATTGTTCCAGCTGTTGAAGGCCTTGTGGTGCGCAATTCAAGATTGAGTTCATCCATATTATATTCTGCACATACAGAGTCACACGGACTTGTCAGGTTTTCTAACAGAAGGTAATGCCAGCGCTGATAGGTTGGCTAACCCTGCATTAGTGGCACCTCAGCCTGACAAGATTGCCCAAGCCTGGGCATCGCATGTTTTTTTCCATGAAAACGCACATACTCTGCAGAAGCAATTTCATCTAACAGCCACTGAGGCTCATGACATTGTTGCCTCTTGTGATGACTGTCATGGCTTTGCTGTGCCTTTACCGGCAGGGGTGAACCCCAGGGGTCTAAAAACCCTGCAGCTTTGGCAGACAGATGTCACTCACATTGCTGAATTTGGCAGCTTTAAGTATGTGCATGTGTCTGTTGATACCTTTTCTTCTGCCATGTGGGCATCTGCTCACACTGGGTTGAAAGGTCTCAATTTGATTCCCCATTGGATGTAGGCTTTTGCAATCTTGGGCATACCTTCCGCTATGAAAACCGACAATGGCCCTGCTTACGTCTCTCAGAAGATGAGGCAGTTTTTGCAGATATGGAGAGTCTCACATAAGTTTGGCACTCCACATACTCCAACAGGTCAGGCCGTTGTTGTCAAACGTGTTCATGGTACTCTGAAGCATGTTCTTGACAAACAAAAAAGGGGAATGGCTGGGGAAACACCACACAGCCAATTGGAAAAGCTTTGTACACCATCAATCATCTTACTGTGCCACAAGATTCCAATAATCCTGTTATTGTGAATCACTTTACTTCATTACAGGCTTCAGATGAGACATGCCTGCCGTGACTGAAGGTCTTGATACAGGACTTGACCATGTACAAGTGGGAGGGCCTGCATTACTTTATCGTTTGGGGTCGCGGGTACGCTTGCGTCTCAACAGATACCGGGGTACGCTGGCTACTTGCAAGATGTGTCTGCCCTGACCTGCGACATCAGAGACAGAGTGTGGCCGATGCACAGCCTTCAAACGCTGACCAACATGCCAATCACCAGCCAGACGGACCCTCTACAAGCAGAGGGTTAACATTCATCTGTTTCCCTTGTAACTGTTTTAAGTTTCTAGGACATTGTTAGATAGGTTTCCTTGAATATATTAGAGATATTAAGTCTGGTGAATGGTAGCGGGTTTTGTTATTGTACTAGAGAAATAGTGTTTTGATAATTAGTTTTGTAGGGTAGAAGACACAAGGTTTGAAGATTTCCCTGGGCACTTCAAATGTCCCCAGGTCTCTTGGGTTGTGTTTGTTCTCCTTTGCAAAGGGCCCTGCAGGGGATTGCAAACACTCCTCTTCCTTTTCTTTTTTAAACTAAAAAGGGGGACTTGTGGACACTGCTAGAGGCCTAGGAAAATTCCAGCCAGGATTTTCCCCAGGCTCTGCTTAGCTAGCTCAGAATCTTTCCCAGACTGTGAGTGTTCTCAGCTTTGGCCAGGATCCTTTCCCAGGAAGAAAGTTTTATCAGAGGTAGAAAAGAATCAATAACATAGATTAGCACCTGGTGTTGACTGTGGGACAGTACGTGATATACGTGACATGGAGTGTTTCTCCTATTGTCCAGTAAGCTGCTGTCCTGTCTGGGTTTCATGGACTGTCCTATAAATAATGGTTGGGTTTTCTAATAAATGCTTATTTTGCCCAAGAAGAAGTGTGTTGCTATTATTCGCCTTTCCTAGCGTGATAGTGACACAACTTGCAAGAGATTTAGAAAGCTCAGCTAGAACTTAATCTGGCCACTTCTGTGAAAGTTAATAAAAGCATTTTTCTAAATGCGTTGGCAACCAAAAAATGGGTGTGAGGGTCCAATTTATTTTACAATAAGAATGCCTCAACATTGTTTTGATTTTATTTTTGAACTGTTGGTTATAAATCTGCTCTTTCTAACGTTAATGGAAAGTACTAGAAAACCTGCCCCTGTCTTGGTAGTACCAGCATGTGACAGCAAAAAAGGCTCTGTCTATGGGGAAAATTTGTCCTGGAAGCCTAGCAGGGTGAAGAGAGTCTCTATCACTAGGGAGACTCTCCAGGCGACCCATTAAACCTTCCTTGGATGATTGGACCATGGGAGGGGTTACGTGGTATGTGACTGCCTCTGAGCCCTGAGCTGAGCCTCACTCCTGGCCCAAGCCCTTGCTCTCTTGCCCTCTCTTTACCAACCCTCGTTGATCTCAGGTGCCGCCACCAGCACTTTCCCAATCCTGCCTGCAGCCACTGCTGTACCCACCCTGCCTGCTGCCCACAGCTAGTTGCCCTGCTTCTTTTCCTGCTGCTGCCGTGTCTTCTTCCCAAGTGTTGGGTCACTTGCCAAGCATCTTGCCATCTGTCAACCGTGGGAGCCAAGCTGTTCACGGACTGTTAGAATCACTGTGCCACGCTGACTCACTTGGCTAATAGCACACACGTGCCACCTGCCAAATGAACACTGACGATGCACTTCAAACACCGTAGCGATAAGTGTCTCTCTCTCACTCTTTTCTCTGCCTTTTCTATTCTCTCTGTTTAGGGCCATTTATTTTCTTTTATCAATAAACAGTTCACAGGTGTAATATTGACATCGTTTGTGTCTAATTTTGCCCTAGGAAACTTTAGAAGCCCTCCCACTCACTCTGGGATGGGACAATTGATGGTGTCAGAAAGTGGGATTCCTTTGGCAAAAAATGCTGTACCTTTTCGTGGTATGACACTTGCCAAATGCCAGGCACCCACAAAAGCTGCTCACTCACCGTCCCCTGACACAGCTAGAACGAGGAGAGAAAAATTTAATGAAGGCTTCAGGAGTTAAGGACCAGGAGAAACCACTCCTAGGGCAAAACAGACTCAACTTAAAAGTACAAAGTGAATTTATTACTAACAAAATCAGAGGAAGATAATGAGAAGTAAAATAATACCTTAAAAAACCTTTTCTTCCCTCAGCCCCTCACTCCTTCCCACTAACAGCGCAAGGAGACAGGGCATGGAGGTTTTGTTCAGTTTGTCACTCACGGTTTTCTTCTGTTGCTCTGGGAGAGGAATCTTTCCCCTGCTGCACTGTGGGCTCCCTTCCCACAGGAGACAGTTCTCCTTGAACTTCTCCAGCATGGGTCCACTCTCACCAGCAGCAGTCCTCCCAAAACTGCTGTGGTGTGGGTCACTTCCATGGGGTGCAGTCCTCCAAGGACAGGCTGCTCCAACCTGGAAGCAGGGCCCCCTCTCTCCACTGGGTCTTCCACTGGACCATAGCCTCCTCCAGGCATCCACCCACTCCAGCGTAGGTACCTCCCCTAAAGGCTGCAAGTGGATCTCTGCATACCCCGTAGATCCCCATGGGCTGCAGGGGGACAACCTGCTTCACCATGGTTTTCACCACGGCCTGCAGAGGAATCTCGGCTCTGCCACCTGAAGCACCTCCTCCCCCTCTTTCTTCACTGACCTTGGTGTCTCCATGTTGTTTCCCTAACATGTTCTTACCTCCTCCTCTTCTCTGGGTAGAAAAAAACTGTGTTTACTTTGTTTTGATTTTCTTCTTATGATGCTTGGAGAGGCTACCTAGATCAGCAACTAGACAGAGTTAGAGGATAACTGTGATATATGTTGTAAAGTAATTTGTGTTAATTTGAGATTTATGTAAGAGAAATCATGTTCGTATAAATAAATTAATTAATACAGAAACTTTAGAACATTAGCCCCAGCGAGGAGGAAGGATTGACTCACTGAATTCCAGCGCTGCAACTGCTGACAAAACCGGGATTAGGAAGTTAATAGAATCGGCTCCAAACGGCGGTGGCTTGTTACAGAGGCAGTCCAGGAAACACCCAAGTGATGAGCACTCGATAAGTATCATCAGTCAAGATAACCAGGGTCTTCAGGAAAACTACATCTCAATACCTGGTTCCCCAAAATCGGCACTCATCAAAATTCATCGCTGCCCAGAAATGGTTTTGTCCAGTCCACCGCAGAGAAAGGAGGCTACATGAATATGCGAAACTACAAGAAAGGAGGACTGTTGCAGGCATTTTGGGAGCTCTAACATTACAGCCTATGTATCGTAAGATCCTGTAAGTAGGACGGAGGTAGCTACAAGGTTACTATGCCCTTGGTGGGCTTTTGAGTGAAAAACAAAGTCATAA